GTGCAAGACTTTGTGGACAAGACTTTGCGACTGGTAAGAATTTCTCTTTTAATCATTGCCATACAAAGAGTTTTGCGTTTTTTCTCGGGAAAGTTATTTTATAAAAGCAAAAGAAAACTTTTTCCCTGTGTTTGCATAGCCTGATATAAACACTCGAGGCGTTAGGAGAATTCTCAACAGTTATGCAAACCCTCGACTTCGTCTCGGGTTTGCATAACTGTCTCGAATTCTCCCAACCCCTCTCGTGTTTATATCAGGCTATGCAAACACGGAAAACGTTTTCTAGTACTTAAAAAATTAACATCGATGCAGGTAAGCTTGTTTTAGCTATGTTTTTAAACTAGGAATTATTTTGAATGAATAATAAAACAATTATTGAATTCAGTTTTTCGTATCATATGAAGAATTATGGAGATCTCGGAGGGTGTTATCCGCCTCGGTCTACGGCCTCGACGGATAACACTCTCCTCGATCTCCATAATTCTTCATAAGATATTCAGCCTCATTCATGAATTGTTAATTAACAGCCTAAATTACTTGCCTTCGCGGGGAGAAGCGGCAAAAGCCAGCGAGAAAGTTCACATTAAATGCTCAGCCTTTGCAAAAAAAAAATCATCTTATATCACGCTAAGAATAATTTCAGATTTTATTCAATGAGAAATTTGGTCAAAACCTTTCCCTTTTATATCGATTTAACCACAAAAAATACTTGATTTTTTTCTTGCTGGTCCTAAATGTTCTCTAGTTAAAATGAACGGTCGGAATTCACTCCTTAAATTACCCAAGACATTAATTACACACAGGCTTTGGGTGGACAAGCGGGAAGTGTATTTGTAGAGAAATATTGTCGGGATAGACTTGATTAAAGTGAACTGGCAACCTAATCAAAGAATCAAAACTGACGTCCTTTCGGTTTAGTTAAGATTCGTTGACACAGTAAATAGTTGATTTGATGCAATGTTGACAAAAGAAAGCATATTGACATTCCTAATTGCTATTTTATGGAAAATGAATTCACAGAACAAAAAAATTTAACATACAAAAAGGAGCTTAGTTGACAATTGGTTGAACTCAGTATGACGTCCCCTTTTTTTCTGATTCGAAAGTCTGACGTATTTCATGATTTTTTCTTCCATGGCTATGAATAAAAGCAGTGCGTTGGTCTTTAAAAGGATAAACGAGTTGCCACAGTTATTTAAAGCTGACGATTTGAGCGCTCGACCCTCGTCAGAGTGAGTGAATTTTTATATTCTTTTTGTCTTGTTTGAAATTAGCGGTTTTTAGTTCACCTGCCTATGTCATTTTCGTCATGGTGCACTAAGTTGAGTACGTAGGATAGTTTTTTTGAGTTTTACCTTTTCAGGTTAAAAACATGTAAGCCTATAGACATTTTCTGAGCTCAAATAGAAAGAGTGGTCTAAGAAATACTCATTGTGTCCTTCTGGTTGTAAAAAGAAGGTCTTGTCTCATTCAAGGATTTCCTCAGTGTTATCAGCCATTTATTACTAACACCGCCAGCTCGAAACAAACAAACAAACAAACAAACAACGAAAAACCAAGAAAAAACAAGGCTTCAAAAGGGCCCTCAAAACGGCGCGATTTTTTTGACTCATGATCAGACTGCTGTATGGATGTTATTAGAAATGCTTTTAAGCTTAACTGCGTTTGTTTGGCATAAAGTTTCCAAAAAATAAATCCCGTGACCTTAAACTTATCGTTTATTCTGTGTTATTTAAAATCCGAAAGTACCAACTGGATTGCTTTTAACTTTCTTGCAGCACGCTTATCAAAACTAAAAAATAATAGATGTTAATGTACTGCTAAATTTAATATTTTTCGTCTGTTTGTCTACTATCAGAAAATTTTTAGTATTACTAGCTCTATCGTATTTAATTATTTTGTTTCAAGTTATTCCAGACTGAGTAAATGAAGTTTTTCCAAGCTCATTACACCATACATGCATGAATCAGAAAACGAAAATCCGCTGGTTCGATACTCAGCTAGAAACACGAGTCAGAGAATTTGCCTTTCAGATTTTCAGGATATAAGCCTATAATCATCAATCCCATGAAGCGTTTTAACAGCCTAAATTACTTGCCTTCGCGGGGAGAAGCGGCAGAAGCCAGCGAGAATGAGAAACTCAAACCAAGCCATAGTTTTTCTCTGAAACCGCTGATCAATTAATCTTTTTTTCAACCAGTACCTGTTCTTTGAAGGGCAATGTTGTCTTGTGCGTGATCCCAAGCTGCGACCAGTTCGTGAATTCTAGTGCTCACGAGCGACGTAAACTGACAAAAAAGAGCACATCACCTTCATATTGCATAGACTGTAATAAAACGTCTTTCTTCGCCCCATGTAACTTGAGGTAATTTTTGGTTCCTTGTCAGCGTAAAATGGGTTCCGGATTCCAATCGTCAGCAGGAGCCCGGATTCCTTGAGCTAAGTTCCGGATTCCAAAGCCCAGGAAAAAAGTTCCCAGNGCGCGATTTTTTTGACTCATGATCAGACTGCTGTATGGATGTTATTAGAAATGCTTTTAAGCTTAACTGCGTTTGTTTGGCATAAAGTTTCCAAAAAATAAATCCCGTGACCTTAAACTTATCGTTTATTCTGTGTTATTTAAAATCCGAAAGTACCAACTGGATTGCTTTTAACTTTCTTGCAGCACGCTTATCAAAACTAAAAAATAATAGATGTTAATGTACTGCTAAATTTAATATTTTTCGTCTGTTTGTCTACTATCAGAAAATTTTTAGTATTACTAGCTCTATCGTATTTAATTATTTTGTTTCAAGTTATTCCAGACTGAGTAAATGAAGTTTTTCCAAGCTCATTACACCATACATGCATGAATCAGAAAACGAAAATCCGCTGGTTCGATACTCAGCTAGAAACACGAGTCAGAGAATTTGCCTTTCAGATTTTCAGGATATAAGCCTATAATCATCAATCCCATGAAGCGTTTTAACAGCCTAAATTACTTGCCTTCGCGGGGAGAAGCGGCAGAAGCCAGCGAGAATGAGAAACTCAAACCAAGCCATAGTTTTTCTCTGAAACCGCTGATCAATTAATCTTTTTTTCAACCAGTACCTGTTCTTTGAAGGGCAATGTTGTCTTGTGCGTGATCCCAAGCTGCGACCAGTTCGTGAATTCTAGTGCTCACGAGCGACGTAAACTGACAAAAAAGAGCACATCACCTTCATATTGCATAGACTGTAATAAAACGTCTTTCTTCGCCCCATGTAACTTGAGGTAATTTTTGGTTCCTTGTCAGCGTAAAATGGGTTCCGGATTCCAATCGTCAGCAGGAGCCCGGATTCCTTGAGCTAAGTTCCGGATTCCAAAGCCCAGGAAAAAAGTTCCCAGATTCCGGATTCCACAAGCAAAAATTTTCATTCCCGAATCCTGGAATCCCAGTGTGGATGCTTGACAAAAATTGCGCGTGCAAACTAAACCAATGTGATTAATAAAGCTAAAATTGCCAGGATTTCGAAAGCAATAGTAGGCATTCCTGATGTCCTTGCTTCAACCAATCTGTCAACCTGTCAACGGCGCCTTTCTAGACTTTAAGAACCTGAAATATGAAAAACAGTAACTTTGTTTTCGCATTTACTTTTGTGTTAGACATATGTTTTTTTTACATATTTGACGGAGCGCCGTGATTGGTAGTTTAATGACTTTTCTAACGGACAGAGGCGCACTTGTCGGTTTGCTAAGACAATATTAATCTTGGCTGGAACAAGTCTGTCTGAAGAATTATTTTTTATAAATGGTACCACACACACCACAAAATTTGTAATTCAGAAGCCCTATATGTGAGGAAGCAGAAACAATCGATGTACTGCGTCAACTATATTTTTTCTCTACTTATAAGTCTGACTCCACGAAACATGTGACTTAACAAGAATGATCATTCAGGGAGATCCGTTTCGGTAGCTTTGAAACCAAGATAATAACAAACGAAAAATCGTGCGTTGCCTTGAACTTCCTCAATTAATGTAGCACTAACATTGGGCCAACTTCTGTAAGGCAAGGACGGCAAGGATTATCCCTATGAACGAATTTTTAGGCTATGAAAAAAATCAAGATAAACACGAACTGATAAACCTTTGAGAATTCCCAAAACAAAGTGAGGATGGAAAATAGCCCCACAAAACAAAAAAGAACATACACGAGGATGAGTCGTTCGTTCAGCGATATAGGTTTTTTGAGACTGATTATCGGCCTTGGTCGAATAATGTAAAGTGAAAATTATAATTCATCCCATCCTGGTACAGCAAAAATGTTTGATATACACAAGGTTCCCCAATAAGTTTCTTCAATCTCGTTGTCTTGGCCCAAATTTTCGCTCAACCCCTTTCTTTAATTCTGGTTATTTTGGGCATCCCTAATCCGAGGCATACTTTCAATCCCGAATCCCACTCCCATATCTATTGTTTTAAAATCCCGAAATCCCGGCCTTCAAATAAGACAAATCCAGAATCCAAAAAACCTATTAATGACCATCAGACATGACCAAAGAAGAGAGCTACCTCAGAGAATGGTGCATGTTATTTTGTGTGGGCCTGAGAAATTTTATGTCCTTTTGACATACGTTTCCTTCATCTCTGCCAACTGTTTATTTTAAGACAAAGCCAGATTCTATCTTGATAGTTGTATTTGTTTTAATCACTGTACATACAATGAGGACTGGGTAATATAGGCACGTCCTGTTCGTCTGTGTTTGTCTACAAAATCACCTTTCAGTATGGCAATTGAATTTTGTACTGATACGTGCTATGTTTGTGTAGCAATTCCACTTTTCGTCGTTACATGATCTATCTTCTTTTAGTGAACAAGGCTTGGATATTCTCAACCGTCGATGTCTTCCAAGAGAAAAAGCTTTTGCGTATTATAAGCAGTTTATATGTTTATGAGACATTAATTTCATAATGTTACAACTCTTCCAGGAAAATTCAAAACACTGACACGAGGAGATGAACATTATCGCTGACTTGCAAATGGCGATAGCTTTGTTTCTTCATTTCACACTGCTAACGTTGTTGCTGTCTTGCCTTGGAAACTGCAACGGCCTTCAGCACGTAGAGTCCGCTTATAAAGACGGCGATATCATGTTAGGAGGACTTTTTGATCTTCACAAGAGCAAAGGCGACAACGACGGCTGCGGTGATCTTCTTGCTTCAAACCTGGGATACACGGAGGCAATGATATTTGCCATTGAAAGCATCAACAAAAATAAATCGCTCTTGCCGAACGTCACCCTTGGGTACGATATCCACGATTACTGCCTTCGACCTGCAAAAGCTGTGAAAACCGCGTACGAGCTCGTAGTAAAGACTGATAGTCGCTTTTCTCTTCAAAACTGTTCAGACGCCAATGAGCACCATAACGATATGCACCAATTAAAGGAAATATTAGGGGTCATTGGGCCGATGGATTCAGCCAGTGCCATCATGGTTTCCAGCTTGTTCGACATCGCACATATTCCATCCATCAGTCCACTGGCAACAAGTGTGGAGTTAAGTTCCACCTTGTACTCCCACTTTTATCGTACGGTTGCCTCTGACAGGTGGCGGGCAAGCCTGTTAGCCGATATGGCATACTTCTTTAACTGGACTTACGTGGGTGCAATTGCCCTTGATGATTCTTTTGGCCGCTATGGAATATGGGGAATTGAAAGGGAAGCTTATGAGCGAGGTTATTTTTGCATAGCCTTGACTCGATTTGTTCCTCGAGTGGACCATTGTAAGCAGGTCAAAAGGATTGTGAACGACCTAAAGAGCAATGAGAAAGTCAAGGTTATTTTCATATGGCTTTATGGAGAGTATGCGCAGGATTTTTTGGATGAAGCAGTGAAACAAAATGTGAAGGACAGAACTTGGATCTTTGCAGATGGGGCAACCCCAAGTGATCCATATTTTCAGAAGCTCCATTTTGCAGAAATTTTAAACGGGTCATTTGGTATTCTCCCCAAAGCTCAGTCCAGCCAACCGTTTAAAATCTATTTGACCAATTTAGAAAAGAGAAACTTTAGTGGAAGCAGCAATCCATGGTGGGATGAATACTGGGAATCTATGAACGTTACACTGGAGACGTCTTTAGAAAGCAGGTCGCATTTAACAAACAGCCCTTACATCGCCTACACCATCGATGCCGTATATACCTTCGCCCATGTCTTGCATGAGATGTACCACTGTCGCGAGCCACATGGACTGCTCAAAGGTGGTAAATGTCCCGTAATTCAAAATTTAAAAGTAAGAGGAGACGATCTTCACATTTATATGCAGAATGTAAGTTTTCAAGGACTGACCGGAACTGTACAGTTTGACAAATACGGCGATCCTTTAGAGGCATGCTACAACATTTTGAACTTCAAGAGAGATGGGGAAGGCTCTTCGAATGTTCTTGCTGGGTGGTGGCTTAAAAATACGGTCCACGGTCCCCGACTGAAAATAAATGTAAATAACATAACTTGGAAAAGTGGAAGTGGATATGAAGGTATCCCTCTGTCCGTATGTTCTACAGATTGTTCGCCCGGCGAAAGGAAAGTTCCAAAATCGCCATGTTGTTGGGATTGTGTCAAGTGTCCTCCAGGGACTATAAGTTCCTATGGTGTTTCTTCTAACTGTTCAGAGTGCCCTGAGAGACAAAAACCAAACTACAACAGGACTAAATGCATCGATCTCCCATTAAACAACTTACAATGGGACAGTGCGTCCTCAATAGCTGTAACCTGCACAGCAGTTTTGGGAGTGGTTTTGACTTTCCTTTTCTTCGTCGTGTTTGCGAAATATCGAAATTCACCGATCGTGAAGGCTTCAAACAAAGAACTGAGCATACTATTGTTAATTACAGTAGGGCTCTTTTTCGTGCTGGCCTTTCTATATCTCTTTACACCTACAAACACCCTGTGCTGCACTTTGAATGTCTGGCGATACACCATATATACATTGTGCGTGTCAATCCTTTTACTAAAGTCAAGAAAAATCTTCAATGCCTTTAGGTTACGTACATTAGCAAACGTTATGAACTCAAGGCCTCGGGCAAAAAAGAAGGGATTCAGCCTTCTTTTCAGAGGAGAAAGACGACATTTGTTTTTCCTATTGTCTGTGCAACTAACACTGATAGCCAGCTGGATCTCATTCGATCCACCCAAACAAACGGAAATTGTCCGTCAGCCTCATTACCTGTTTGTTGTGTGCAAACCTTTCAGTTCCGCGACTGGTAAAGCTCTCTTCATCATAATCGCAACCAACCTTCTAATCCTGTCGACGGCTTGTATATATTACGCTTTCAAAGGGCGAAAAATTCCAGAGAATTTCAACGAAGCCAGATACATTGGTTTTACAATGTACATCGTGCTATTATCATCTGTCGCTTATTATCCAGTTGAATTTAGCTTGGAGGGTTGGTATGTAGGTGTCATTGGAGGAATAACAACACTAGTGAGTTCCTATGCCCTATTGGCCTGTATGTTTGGGCCGAAGATTTATGTCATCTTTTTCACCCCTGAGCAGAACACTCGCGAGGCAGTAAGCAGTGAAATTGCAAAATATTCTTTATCAGCATCGTTTGCAGTAGTGCGTAATGGGCGTGTTGCCCCTCAATCAAACCCTGGTTCAAGTCCTAATACATCCCAAAAACATTAAAAAACAAGCCCTTTAATATTACATAATAATAAATAAGTTTATAAAGCGCTTAAACTATAAATATTCTAAAGCGCTACCTAATTTACAATAATAAAATGCAACATTGAAAGAGAAATAAATAAAAAATCAAATCATTCATTTCTAAAAGCTTTCTCGAACAAGTAGGTTTTAAGAAGCCTTTTAAAACAGTTAATATTTGAAATAAATCTTAGTTCCTAAGGTAGGGCATTCCATAACGATGGACCTGAATGGGCGAAAGCTCGATCTCCAAAGGGTTTACGCTTTGTTTTCGGGACTTGCGGCAGTCTCTGATTATAGATCTGATCGTAAAGTATAACCTCCCGCAGCTTTAGGTTTCAGAAGATCTCTAATGTACACAGGAGCCTTGGCTTCCAACGCCTTGAAAGCAAGTAAAAGAATCTTCAATTGAATTTTGGAATAGACAGGTAACCAGTGCAGTTTAATTAAAATAGGAGTGATATGGTCAAACTTCGGGATAACACGAGCAGCAGCATTAAGGATCTTCTGTAAACAGTCACACTGATATTTAGGTATGCCATGTAGAAGACAACTGCAATAGTCAAGATGCGACGTGACAAAGGCGTGAACCAGAGTCTTAGTTGATTCTTCAGAAAAAAACTTTCTTATTTGCCTGATGCTATGTAGGCCACGAAAACCTGTAATACAAACTTTGACAACATGAGAATCCATAGACATACGATTGTCAAACCATGCACCCAGATTACGGACACACTCAACAGGTTTAATAACAGAGGTACCGACAGCAATTGACTCAATGGAGACCTTGGATAACTCCTTGTAAGAGCCGATGATAAAAACTTCAGTCTTCGTGTCATCAGTTAATGGCCGATGGGAGATCATCCAAATGCGAACGTCTGCAATACATTCCTCAATCACTCTGAAAGCTTCCCTCTGTGAGTTAGAGGAGTCGGGTTTAAAAGAAAAATATAATTGCGAGTCATCCACATACGCATGTGCTTCAGGGAGATGCTTTGCCAATACTTAAAAACAGTCCAGAAGCATACAGGAGAAAAAGAAACGGGCCCAGACAACTGCCTTGGGGAACTCCAAAATCCAGATCAAAGGGCTTAGACAGCTGCAAATTAATGAATATTTGTTGTTTCCTAACCGATACTAAGTACGACTCAAACCACTTTTGGGCATCACCAAATATACCGGAACTGAACTATACAGGAACTATACAGGAACTGCATGGAAGGCTACTTACTGCTGTGATTCTTAGATCCTTGGTCGAAACAACCGGCGCCTTTATGTCCTTCACTTTTTGTCACAGACAAAAGAACAATAACACAGGAGGGTGTCAATGGGGTGGTAGCTTTGACAGTTGACGGTAACTTTTTTCCAATTTTGTCGGCTGACGGTTAAATGTTAGTGCTTTTCACGGTTTTGTCTTTATGAATTAATATTAACTGTTCGGTATTTTGGCGGTTGTCTTGGCCTTTCACTTGTAAAATGTTGAAATATTTTCAGATATAAGCAGGTTGTAAAGTATTGTAATATGTACAAAGAGTGTTTTTGAGACCTGCGGGGGTATTTTACAGAACGCCGAACGCCGAACGCCGAACGGGAACGCCGCCGAATGAATCTGAAATTTAGTGATTAGGGTTAGGAAACGGAGTGAATCAAGTTTCAGGTCCGTTTCCCAGTATAATGACCCCCAGTTTCTTAACCCTAATGACTATTCGGTGCTCTGCATTCGGCGAATGCAGAAAGTCGAATTACTCTGAAGTTTAGTCGTTAGGTTTAGGATGCTACTCGAATCAGGTTTCAGGTCTGTTTAAATATCTGAATGACCCTAAATGGAACCTGATTCACTCGATTTCCTAACTCTAATCACTAAACTCAGAGACATTCGTTGTTCGGCGTTCTGCAAAATACCCCTGCGACAAGACAGGTGTTATTCTCAGATTAGTTTGCCATTTGCCATTAATTATGATAAATCGGATGCTAAAGCCGAGTCTCTATTATAGATATAGGGATAAACAATGAAATTTTCTTTTGAAGAATTTAGGAGCATGAGCTTTAACATTGTAATATTACCAAAGAGTACTTTAGAGGTGTTAAACAACACGAGATTCGACCTCTTTAATACCGTTTTCAAACTGGACCTACATCCTTGTCAATGTAAAACCTAACCAAGTCTTGGATTCCTTGTAGTGGGTTGCTAAGTTAATTGCAAAAATGTGTAAGTAAAAGTGATATTTTGAAGCAGAAGAAGTACGTGTGGTTGATTGAGTATTTATTTCTGTGTAGTCACAGGTAAGCTGTTCTCTTTCCTTCACTGGCTTCGCAGGAAGCTGTTCATAGCTGGAACCTTACTACTTTGTCAATGTTTTTCATCGTATATATCTTAGCATCGCATGGATTGGTCCATGTTTTCTAGGCCATTACTATCAGGCTAGCTTGAACGAAAGCAAACAGTTACCAACAGTAATTTTGTTACCCGCCCCCCTCCCTTTGGAGGAGTTGTGTTGTGTTATGTAACCGTTTAAGTTTTGGCGGGTCACTCCTTGAGGTGCGGTTAAGTCCTCCCTCAAGCTTTTGGCCTTGCTTGTGTCTTGCCATCTTATTCCTTTGCCTTAATCGTGTCCGATCCAGCCCGTGCGGGAGATAAGAAAGGGTCTGCCAATATTCTTGTCCTACCCCACAGTAGTGGGGCGATAAGTGAGGCTTGTGTTATTTTGTGCGCATAACCCTAAGTAGCTATAACCTGCCACAGAGCTGTGCCCCCCCCCCCCCCCCCCCCACCCACCCCCCACACCCTTCCGTCTGTCTTGTTTCCTCTTTTCTTCTTTTGGTTGTTTTCTTTTTTTTGTTTTTTTTTATCTTGGATTTTTTTTGATTGTTATTCCTGTTTAAACTGGTTTTT